TTTTTTTTTGTTTTATTTCGAAAGCCAAATTAGTAGGGTACTGCAGAATTTTGTCCCTAATCTATTTCAAAATAATTTCACCTTTCAAAAGGTTAAATTGTTTCCTCTCAGAGGTTAAATGAAAGCATCTAGGTATGAGGGAGATAGCTGATGAAAGGATTGTAAGGACGGTGGATGACGGAGCTTCGTCTTCTGCTTTCTATAGTGCTGAGTATGGACAGCGAAGGGCAGTGTAGAAAAGTAAGGGAACTGGGCTAGAAGATGAGTTACGCTAAGTTATCAACTGTTGGCTTCGGAAATCAGGGATATGATTTTTTACCCTAAAAGTGGTTTTAGGTTAACAGTAGGGTCGTGGGTGTAGGTGATACAGCAGTTTTATATTCGCTTCTGAGGATTGAATGTTGTGACAGCAAAGTTTTACACCTATGGTCGGGGTTTAATGGATTTCTTGCATGGGGACGGTGGAAGATGAGTATGTGATAATTCCATTCCTCTTTGAAAGACATTGGTCCAGGGATTTATAAGTAGTACATTTTTTACTGGTCAGAGCTTTTGTAGAAAGGAGCGCGGAGTAGTGGTAACAGACGACGCGTAATGTTTTCTTTTTTCTTTACTGAATTAACCCCCGACGTCAGATTTGTGCGCGCCTTTCTGGTGATTAGTGAATCTGTGAAGAAAGAGTGTAGTTATGGGGTATCCGCTGCTCGGGAAGTAATCTTAACCTCAAAATCTCAACCTGATTGAGAACTTCCGTGATGTAGAGGAAGGGAGTCATTTTACTACTTTTTTCTAGTCAGTTGGGGCAGGGTCGAGGAAGATAGGTATTCACTTGAGGTATGCGTTAGAAGCTCTGTAGTGGGTGTATTTTTTTAAATGTGTGTTGTTGTTGTAATTCGTCAATAAAACGATCAGTGTCAAGGGTTGTTGAGTGTCTTTTTTTGGTTTATTGATAGAAATCTTGGATAATTTCGTCAGTAGGAAAGAATTTGCATTTGCTTAGCACTTCACCGACGCATTTTGCTGCAATTACATACACATTGAAACTGGTGATAATACCTGCTTGTTTAAATAGGTCAAAATGATTGTGGTTTATTCTGCAAGTTTACTCTTAGATGTATTTCCTTTGCAGCCTTCATTTTACGACGATTTAAAAATGTCTCAACGCCTTAAGTTCGGTCAGATGGTAGCGCTATCAAGTGACAATTTTCAAGGTTAGCACGTAAGGATTCTTTGTCTTGAAGTTGTTGTCGCTCCGGAATTCACCCGTGTTACAGTAAATGCGAAGCATTTTTTTCAAAGTTTAGATGAAGTATTGATTGCCGTTATTGTTGAAAGGAGCGAAGAAGAATTTGCCAAAGGTCGTATTGGATTGTATTTTGAAGACTCTCAGCGATTTCTCCAAAAAGGGTGTTACGTACTGGTTGAGCCGTCGTCTTATTTCGAGATGTATCATTATGTGCTAAACGAACTTAAAGTCAGTTGAGATGGTGTCATAATTTTTTCACAGTCATTTGGTTTAAACGCCTTAAAGACTGGTTAGCGCATACATAGCGGACATGGGATTTTCTAAGAGTAGGAGGATGTTACCAGGAAATTGCAGATTATTCGAGTAGCGTGCTAGTATGAGTATGCTTGTAAAAAAAGCAAGGTTAACTTAAAAAACTAGAGTACTTTGTACAGTAAATTACCATTTCGTTCAGCATACAGGACAGGAGAGATTAGGGACTAGAAACGTTTGACGAGTTTGAAATTTATTCAACGTTTCGGTTTGTTTATTTACTGTTTTTGTGGCTTCTTTTCACCCAGCTATTTATAACTTGTTCACTGAACTATCAGTGCGAAACTTGCGCAGAATTTTTCATGTAGCGCGGAAATTGTTCCTCTGGAGTAGTCGTACACTTTTTTTCTGTTTATGTTTTTCAGTTTCGTTTTTGGAATTCTTAGGTTTTGTGTTACAGTGTGATAGAATATTAGATTTCGGTGAAAGCTATCGTTTATAGGATGGCCAAAATGTGTGTTTTTGGAACTCGATTAGGAGAATTTTTTTCTGATTATTTGCTAGAGTTTAAAGGTCTTGTACCGGGCATGGTACTTCTCACAGAAAGTTTTACAAAGATTCTGTTATCGTTTAAAGAGGTAGACGATCGGTGTAAAGCTTTGGTATCGGATATAGATATTCATTGTGCTCTCGCTCTTTCAGACGTTTAACAGTAGCACACCAATCCCTTTTTCCGAGTACTTAGTATATGGAAAGACGGAAGTGCGACTACCAGCGTACTTAACAAAATCGAAAACTGATCTGAAGGGTGGTACCGTTTGTGACAGATCTTAGATTTTTTAGAGGAGAAGGTTGAAAAAAGAACAATAAGTTAAAAGCAGCAGAATTTTTTATTAATGATAGTTCCTTATGAAGTACTTTTTTACTAGTGTAGCCTGTGCAGTTTAGACTTACGTGTCTATTTGATTTTGAAGTAATAGTGTATTGTAGCAGGAGAGCCTGAATTAACTATTTGCGGGGAAAATCATAGCGTTAGCGGACTTGAACGCACTCTAGATGGTAGTAAAGTTGGTGGAGGTATTGACAATATACAGAAAAATGCTTTGAGTTATGCTCTTACGTCAGACTTTGCTTTAATACAAGGACCACCTGGTACAGGTAGGCTTTTCAGCTATGTGTCAAATGTATTAGATTTTTTCCTAACTAGTCGATTTACCTACGTAAATTACAATTTATACTTCAGATAAAAATTGTCTATAACGAGTGACCATCGATAAGATCTCACGCAGGCTTTTTAAATGCAACTGACCAGACATTTCCGCTTTTTTTGAGTTACGTCTTTCTAGGTAAAACATTTTTGGGTTCTCTTGTCGTTGAAATTTTACTGGAGAATATGCATCTTTGGAACCCCGCACGTGAAACCCCGTTGCTGGTAGTCAGTTATACAAATAATGCCTTGGATCAGTTGTTGGAACGTATACTAGATAGAATAGAACACAGTGACTGCAACGACTCGAGATACCCAGTTCTTGTAAGAATTGGTAGTCGAATTGCTAGTGATAGGATTAAAAAGTACGTTGTCAGTCGAGTGAAAGCTGTTTAAGGTTCCTCGTTTTCACTAGCGGTTTTCATTTATGCTTGTTTATGGTTTTTCAGTTACGGGAAGCAAGTTGTGGTAGATGAGTTCGAAGCTCTTATTGACAGAAATAAGAAAGCAAAAGTAATTTGGAGTTTGCTGTATTATATTTCTGTTCTCCCAGCGTCCCCCTCGTTATGATTGAAATAAGCACCAGAAGTAGTTTCCGTCTTGAGCATCTTTATCAGCTAACTATTTGTTGAAAAATGTGTTATTAGGTTCTTTTAGTAACGGGAAACAGCAAATTGTCATGATTTTGTTTCATTTCGTTTATACGTATCATTTGATTTATTTCATTTCAGTCTTCAAATTCCCTTTTATCTATTCTTGTACTTTCCTTGGAAAGATTAGATTCAGACGCTTAAAAATGTTTTGGATTAAGATGAGCAGCACAGCAGGGAAAAGGAGAAGAGTTTTGGAAAGAATTTTGGAGTTGGTTGCGATTCTGCATCAGTGGGATAAAGAAGTTTTGTCTTACGAGTGGATCAAGTTAGTGATGTCAAAGGACCACCAGGATTGCTTCGAGAATGTTATCAAAAGTTGTCGCGGGGACCTTTTGGTCAGTCAGTGTTCATTACCTAACTTTTTCAACTCTACTGAGCTAAAGTTTGCACTGGTGACAGCCATGGTTTGATTATGAAGACATTGAATGGTGGTATATAGTATTTTCATGACGAAAAGGTGGCAATATTCTGTCAAATTATCGTTTTTTCTAATTTTTTGAAGGAGTTTTACGTCTTTTCGAGCATGCACAAAGATTGCATGTGCTGTCCTCGACATTCTGCGTATTTTTTTTACCCCAATTCCATAGCTATTCTTAGAGTTGGTGGAGTTTCAGCCAGATGAAGCATTCTCTGAGTGGCTCACAGCAGGACCTTCAGAGGAGGAGAAAAGGATAATGAGTAGAGAATTGCCTTTGGTTTGTGACGACGAAGACGAAGAAAAAGATGTAAGTTGTATACTATTTATAAAATTTCTAGATGAGTTTCTGCAGTAAATGTTTGGTCAGAATTTTTTTCTTCTGCTAGTAAAGCTTTCGTCATGTGCTTGCTGAACACATTTAAAATTTATGCTTGCATAAATTCGTTTGAGTTTTACTGTTACGATCTATTTGAAATTTATGCTTGCATAAATTAGCTTGAGTTTTTCTGTTACGATCGTAAAATTTTTATGTATCCTGACAGTTGATCTCTTAGACTGCTTTACAAGGATTATTTATGCTTGTTGCAAAAGTCTTTTTTATCATTTCTCTACACTTTCTGCACTTCAGGAATTTTTATGTACTGATGATGTAGTTGATCGAGAATCTTTCAATTCTAGCTCAGTGCGAAACGATTTCAACGTAATGGTTTTGATTTTTATTTATGAGACCTATTTTATTTTTGATGTCGGTCTCATTCTTGTGGAAAGTTTACGGTGTTTGTTTTGCTTTTTAATTTGTCGTCAAAATAAGAGCAACTTTTTTGCGGGGTATCAGTATTTATTAGTACTTGCCGCTGTGTTGTTCTCTTTCAGGACTCAAGCGGGGATTTGTTCTTGCATCTGGTGTATTTGCTCAGCTTATATGTCGTGTATATATATATATATATATATATATATATATATATA